GGCTTGAAGACCTTCAGTGAGGTTGGACCTTCACTACTTCCAAAGCAGCCCCATTCTACTTACTTTCTTACCATTAGGCAATTTTTTCTAACCCTAAGCCTCAATTTGACTCTAGGAGCCAAGCTAAGGGAAACTGCAAGTTCTGTTTCCTAGGGGACAGGCAGAACAATTTGAATCCCTCTTCCAATTTTTGACAATTTTTCAAATACTCCAGAGACAGCTACGATATCCCCATGAGTCTTTTCCTCTTGGGGCTGCTGTTTAGTCATTTGTAGTTGTGTCTGATTATTCAAGACCCCATTTGGGGTTTTCGTGGCAAAAGATGCTGTAGTGGTTTTCTGTTTCCTTCTCCAGCTCATTTTACAGATGAGGAAACTGAGGCAAACAAGGTGAAGTGACTTGCCCAGGGTCCCACAACTAGTCTGAGGCCAGATTTGAACTCAGGAAGATGAGTCTTCCTAAATCCAAGCTCAGTGCTCTACTCACCGTACCACCTAGCTGCCCTTTCTTAGGTCTAATCATCCTTATTTGCTTTAACTGGGCCTCTCCAAAGGGAAAGAGTGGGCCTAGAATGACTTCCTCAAACATCCTTCCAACTACAAAATTCTAAGGTTACACTTTGGAGAAGGCTGTCTTGGGGCAGCTGGGTGGCTCAGCAGATGAAGCATTGGACCCTAAGACAAGAAGACCTTAGCTCAAATCCTGCCCTAGATACTTATTAATTATGTGACCCTGGACAAGTATAATTAATTTCAGTTTCTTCATCTGTAAAACAGGGATAAAAATAACACCTGCAACCCGGGTTTGAAATGAGATAATATTTGAAAAGTGCTTTGCAAACCATAAAGTGTTATGTAAACATTGGATATTATTATTGCCTTTCTTTGTATCTCTAGCCCTTGACACAGTGCCTAGGATAACGTAAGAGTTTAATAAATGCCTGTTGACTGGTTGACCTGGCACAACTGAAGCTAAAGTCGAGTCAACAAGCTTTATTGAGCACCTGTAATATGGCAGGTATGATGCTAATTGTTGGAGATACAAGGAAAGGTTAAAAAATAGTCTGTTCTCAATGAGCTCAGCATCTAAGAGGAGAGACAACAGGCAAAGTTATGTACAAACAAGAGCTGTACTTTGGGACAATCTCAGAGGAATGCTGCTAGCATTTAGGGGGAAGGATTCTTGCAGAAGAGGGGATTTTAACTGAAACTTGGAGACTTAAAGCCAGGTGGAGGAGGTGAGGAGGGAGAAAATTACGGACATGTGGGGACAGCTGAAGAAAAGGAACAGCTAGGAGATGAACTGTCCTGTTCCCGGAGCAGCAGGGAGGCCAGTGTCCCTGGCTTGCAGAAGACAAGGTGGGGAGTAAGGTGTAAGAAGATTGGAAATGGAGGAGGAGGCTAAATTATAGAGGGCTTTAAAAGCCAAACAGAGGATTTTATATTGATCCTGGAGGTAATAGGCAGCTGGTAGAGTCTGCTAAACAGAGGGGTCATGCTTGCACTTTAAGATTACTTGGACTGCCCAATAGATGACAGACTAGAGAGAGAAGAGATTTGTGGCAGAGAGACCAAATAGCAGACTTGTGCATTAGTCCAGGTTCTAGGGGATAAGGGTCTGCACTAGAGTGGTGGCAGCACCAGAGGAGATATGGTGGATATGGGAGAGATTGTGGAGACTAAACTGTTTTCTCCTTGGATTAGAGTTGCAAAATTCATATTGAGGAATCATGAAAAACTTCAGCCTTAGTGATGGAGGAAACGAAATTTTCTTCTCTAGTGACCAAAAGAAAAGGAGATGGTTAACTGGTACTTCAGAGATGAACACCCCATCCCCACCCCCAACTTCAACAAAAAACTAACATATATGAAAAGGAAGTGGCATTGGAGAGTTTCCTGCATTCAAACCCCATGCTGAAGGATTAGTTTGCATCGGCAGATATTGAATGATTTGTCTAGGACTATATATCCACATACATAAAATCCAAGCCTGGCATGGGGAAAACCTCTTTGGGAGCACCGGTGTCAAATCCCCAGAAAGCTAGGGGACCCTGTTCTCAACTGAGTTCAGCTGTTGGAGACCCATGCCAGTGTGGCCATCTCCAAAGCCTTTACAAATCAATAAAGAGGGAGGGAGTATGGAAGGGAGAGAAGCCACTTCCCTTGAGCTACTCTTTTCTCAAATGGACATAGGATTGTTCTGCTGATGCCCAGAAATTAATACAGCTACAGAAGCTTTCTAGGACTTAAAATTAAATGTTCCCCATGTCATTATTTGTTCTATTTATCTTCCTCTTGAAACAGGAGGTTTAAACTTTGCGGGCCCTAGACTGCTGACTCAGCTGCCTCAGCCCAAACTCATAAAAATCTATTTAAAAAAGGTCCAATGATTTTATTTTCTGATCATAAATATGAAATTTAATTAGCAGCTCGCTGCTAATGAAGTCACTATGGAAGATGAGGCTCAAGATGCGGCAGAGGAACAGAACAGAACTTCAAACATAAAAACAAAGCAACCAGCCTGCAGGAAGGAATTTAACTCTTGCCATTCCACCTATCTTGGAAAATTTGTTGGCTCTTCTGGACTATAAATAAAGGGAAGAGCCAATCTGTGCATGCCAGGAATTCAAATTCAGATTCTGACTTTGATGCCAGCCTCGCTAGATCAGTGGGAAGCTCTAACACACCACAGAAGCAATGCATTTAGTCCCCGGGGCTGGAGTCCAGACTTGTTGTCATTCCCTAGACCCAACTTTCAGCTTGTATGAAGAAAAGTCTGACAGTCTTATCAAGTGTTGGGAAGGAGATGAGGGGGAAAATAAAGAATGGGAGGGGACCTTTGAAAGCACAATGAAAGGAAAACTAGTACAATATATAAATGCCCAAGGTATCATTCTCCCGCACTTAAAAAATACATTAATCCTCCAAGAGTATTTATTGTGGTCAGACTCTAGTATTAAAGTATTAAGATATTGAAATCCTGTTGGGCAAGAATCTGTTCCCCATATCCAGATCATGTTGTTATTATCTAAAGGGCTAATGTTCAAATCAACTGTCTATATGCAGAGCTGTGGATTTCCCAAACACATTGGAAGTTATCCAGTTCTAGCTGTCGCCCCGTTGAGATTAGCCAGATGAAGCTGACATTAATCACAGTTCAGATTTTAGCACTAGGGTTGTTATGTTTGTGAACACATATGGTGTCTGCATTTGTAGTTCTTAAAATTCATGTATGTGCAGTCAGGTTTGGGCTTCTGCACATAACCATTTTACATGTCCTTTGTACATCAAGCCATGTCTGTGTATACATGCATGTGAGTCTATGTTTCTGTGGGAGCGAGTACAAGAAACATTGGCCTACGAATGCCTAGGAGGAAGAGCTGCGATTCATGTTGATTGATTCTGCAGCACGATCCTTTAAACTCAGTTTGCAGTCAGGGCACACAGGATTACATTCTTGAAAAGACATTTATGGCTGAAGGTAATAGGGTATTTGAGGGAACTTTTTTTTTTTAAACTAAAGCATATTGTAATTCTGTTGGCTTCTCAGCTCAAGCTCCTTAGTACAAGAATGCACTTTTGTTCCCTTGTGTTCTTGGAGCTGTGGACAAATTTCTCCAAGTTTCATCACTTAACCTTACTGGCCAGCAAGGAGCCAGAACTCCTGTTTAGGCCCATTTGAAGAAGTGGGCCTTGTTTTAGGCAACAGATGTGTTCTTTTAAAGTTACATGTAACAGAATTTTTTTTTTTTGGGCAGTTGGGGTTAAGTGACTTGCCCAGGGTCACACAGCTACTAAGTGTCAAGTGTTTGGTCTGAGGCTGGATTTGAACTCAGGTCCTCCTGACTTCAGCACTGGTGCTCTATCCACTGTGCCACATAGCTAACCCACGTAACAGAACTTTTGCAAATCAAATATTCTTCTGACCCAATGGTTTACATTTGCCTACGCCCTCCAGGCCCCCAAGCATTGCCATTTGCCCTATTGGGCAGCACCTAAGGGCCACCAGGCCTTTCAATCCACCCTGCAACTGAAGTCTCCTAAAGGCACTGACTTCTTTGATTAAAATGTGAGCTTAAGAGCAGGGACTGTCTTGCTTTTCTAATTTATCTCTAGCCCTTAGCACAGTGCTTGGCACAGAGCAAGGGCTTAATAAATGTGTGGGTCTTTTTTTTTTATTCACTCTCAGGACAGTGATGCTTTAGCTCATTTGTATTCATTTGTATTTATCTTCAAATGGAAATAGTTCTAATCATTTTAGCTTTTCATCACCCTCCATTTTGTCCGGTAGTGATCAGCCAAAACACTTATACACAATAAAGGAATTTTCTATTTAAAGGAACCCTGTATTGAGGGCTTTTATTAAATGAAGAATTTTTCTTGTATAATTATAAATTATATATATTATTATATATAAATATATAATTATATATAAGTTACTATAGAGATAATTGTATAAATTGTTATACACAAACATATAAATTATATATACTTATCTTATTTATAAATATATAATTATAATACTTATATAACATATATACATATATAATTAATATAATCTATAAGGGATCTGTTTTGTAAATTTAAATTTTCATAGATTGTTGGGAGTTTTAAGGGGAAGGACATCTTTCAACTTGTTTGGAGAGAGGCTTGAGAGGCACCACATCTGTCCACAAACACTACCCCCAGTAGCATATGAAGATACCACCCTACCTTGACTGAAATTTCCAAACACCATAGAATCTAAAGGCTGAAAGGGACCTGATTGGTCATTTAGTTTGATCTGTACTGAAACAGGAATTCCCCTCTACAATATCCCTGATAAGTGGGCATCCAGGGTCTTCAACCTGAAGACCTCCGGTGGTAGAGGATCCACTACCTTTTGAGGCAGTCCATTTCTTTTTTGTACAGCTCTGATTGTAATCAGAGTTACTCCTTTTGTTAAACCACAAGGACAGATGCATTGTCTGCAGAAGGTCACTGTTGAAACGCACAGATTACCTGGGAAGAGATGGAGGTCCCTGAGGATCGCTTCTAGCCTTCTCCCATTAGGATGGATTAATTTATCAGACTGTCACCTTTGAAGGCCTAGAGTGCCTTGACCCTGAGGGGATGAGATAGAGGACATGTAAGTTTCAATCAGAGATATAGAAGGTGGAGAAGGAGAGGGAAAATAGAAGGGCAAAGCAGACAGCAGCATAGTCCATTTCTAAGGCTTAGGTGGGGCATAGGCCCTAGGACAACATGAAGGTTGGAAGACAAGACATTGGCCCTGGACATTGAGGTAGAGGGCACATTGCACCCAACCCAACCCTGACCACAGTACTTCAGAATTCTGCCTACGGTTGGCCCTGGTTTTACGTCACTGAAGCTGCCCCTCATAATACAAGGCACAAAAGAGAGTATAGCCTGGACAAAGTTGCATTGCTATATATATATCCTCAAGATTTTTTTTTTCTTTTAGGCAATTGGGGTTAAGTGACTTGCCCAAGGTCACACACCTAGTAAGTGTCAAGTGTTGGGTCTGAAGCCAGATTTGAACTCAGGTCCTCCTGACTTCAGGGCCGGTGCTCTATCCACTGTGCCACCTAGCTGCCCCTAATCCTCAAGATTTTTTAACTATGCTGCCTGAAAAGCCTGTAAGGGACAAAACTATTTCAAATTGCATAATTTCAGATACCAGAGACGAAGGTGGATGGACCATGTATGGAGGAGCAAGCTATAGGGAAGGGTGCTATCAGTATTCCTGGAACCACTATGTAGATGGCCACCTATTCTGTTTACACTTAAAGCCAACCTTATTTATTTTGTTGGTTTTAGTCATTTCAGTCATATTTGACTCTCTGTGACCCCACTTGGGGTTTTCTTGGCAAAAATACTGAAAGGGTTTGCCATTTTCTTCTCTGGCTCATTTTACAGATGAGGAAACTGAGGCAAAAAGGGTTAAATGACCTGCCCAGGGTCACACAGCTAGTAAATGTCTGAGGCCAGATTTGAACTCAGGAAGATGAGTCTTTTTAACTCCAGGCCTGGTGCTCTATCCACTACACCATTTCACTAAAGGAGGTAATTACTGTTTATGAATGCGGTGTTTGATGAGCCAGAGGAGTTCTTTGCTTTAGTAGATACTAATAAAATTCCTTCCTTTAGAAGTGTTCCTACCATGTCTTTCAAAGGAAGCATAATACCACATACCAAGATATGATACATATGTTTATTACAGAATAAACAGATCTCCAAAGAAATACAATACAGGGGGGCTCTTGAGCATTATTTTGCTTGTGAAGAGAGCATGCTAACTTGCTGTACCTTATGCACTTTCCGCATGAAATAATTCTTGCTTCCATGCACTTCCTCCAATCCAAACACTGGCAATTAATTTCTCTCAAAGACATCACATGACACTTTGTTTTATTAAGTCTGTAGTGTATTTCTTATGCAATATTGTGTATCATAGCTACAGGTTTTGGAGTCTTATCGTCCTACTGGATTATAAATTCCTTGAGGGCAGAGACCACGTCTTAGCTAAATTTTGCATCTTAGTAGCATAGGGTGCTGCAAACAGTAGGTATCACAAAACATGTTTGTTGTTGTAGGTAAGTAATGCCAGTTTTATTTTTTAAAAAACATACTAGAGCTTACATAGATAAATGAATTTTCGTTCCTTCAAAGTAGTCACCTTGGGCAGCCATCCACTTATTCCAACAATTATTCCTGCCATTAATCAAAGCATTTTTGGACTTTTTTTTTATCGGCTTTCAGATCCATTTTATGAGCTTCCCAAGAGATTCCTTCTTTGTCTTTAACCCCACTTGGTATGATCCAGCTTATTCATCAAATCTGGCTGGCTACAAATGATTTTTGGTTATTTTTTTTAAGCAAACAAAACAAAGCAAAAAACAAACCCAACATCAAAGGACAATGGGAATTCCAAAAGGGGAGTTACTAATAAGTTTTAAGAAATGGCATTAGTTGGTATAAATGTATCTTTGGAAATGTGAAATTTATCTGTATATACACACATGCACACACATATGTTGGATATATTTGTTAATTTTTTGTAGTAAGCACAAGTTTATTAATGGAAGCCTGTGTTCTCAGTTCTAGCAACTGAAGATAGAACGTTATCCTATAGTATAGGCAGAGAACATATTCAGAATATATATGTATGTACATATATGATGATGATGATGATGATGATGATGATGATAGCTGGCATTTATATAACACATTAAGGTTTGCAAAGTGCCTTATCAAATATTATCTCATTTAATTCTCACAACAACCCTGGGAGGTGGCTGCTGTTATTATCTCCACTTTATAGATGAGGAAACTGAGGCAGATAGAGGTTAAGTGACTTGCCCTGAGTCACACAGTCAGTAAGTGTCTGAGGCTGGATTTGATTTCAGGTCCTCCTGACTATATTTTATATATATATATATATATATATATATATATATATATATATATATATATATATATATATATATATATATATATATATATACAGAGATAGCTGGCTATAACTATAATTAGTTGTGTCCCACATTGTTTCAGAACAATTTTGTTGGAGCACACCTAGGTATTTCTTCCCCAGTCCACAAATAATGCAACCTAAGTTGATAATAGTATACAGGCACTACTCCCTCGAGAAGACGAAATTCAGCAATGGCAGCTAGAGATTTAGGGAGAAGAAAATATGGCTCTTGAAACATAGTATGTGCTTGATGGCTTGAGGCTTCTAGACAGGAACCTAAATGGGAGATTGGAAAGAAACAGTTTTATTTGTAATAAAGCAAAGAAAGAGAGAGAAATCTAGGACACAGAGGCAGAGTGTTGCCCCACGGTATCCCATAGGTTTTTGTTTCAGTCCCCATGTCATCTAGATAGTGGGCTGGTCTTGAACCTCACAAATGTGATAACAAAGCAATGAGATTGTTGCAGAATCAAGTTAATCACAGAGATTACAGATCTAGAGCTGAAAGGGATTTCAAAGGTCATCTAATCCAACCTCCTCATTTTACAGATGAAGGAACTGAGGCCTACAGAGGTATTATGACTTCGTTCAAGATCACACATATAGCAAGGAGCACAGCTGGGATTTGAACCCAGGTGCTTTCACTCCAAATCCACTAGTCTTCCTTATTGTTGTTCACTCATTTCAGTCATGTCTAACTTTTTATGACCCTATTTGGGGATTTCTTGGCAAAGAAACTGGAGTAGTTTGCCATTTCCTCCTCCAGCTAATTCTATAGAAGAGGAAACTGAGGCAAACAGGGTTAAATGACTTGCCTAAGGTCATACAGCTAGTGAGTATCTAAGACTGGATTTGAACTTAGGAAGATGAGTTTTCCTGACTCCAGATCTGGCACTCTATCCACCGCACTCCCTAGCTGCCCATTAGTCTTTCTATTACACTATTAACTAGAGTTCCATTTCCACTCCAGAAAGAAACTGAAGAAGGAGTCCTTTGAACATCTACTAATCTTTTCTCTGGTATTACTAACAACACTTACATTTCCTATGCACCACAAAAAAATTCTCAGAAGACCACACTACCCCTATGGTCCTGTGTCAGAACGCTCCCCCCCCCAAAACCCCCCCACAAACTCTGGAATAGATAGATGTACATTTATATCTAAATATCTAGATCTATATGCATATCTATCTATATGTCCATATCTCTATCTAATCTGTATTTTTTTGCCTGTCAATTCAGATCTGCTATTTGCCAGCTGCAGATGTGAATTTATCTTAGGAGGGGACAAGAAGGGGAGTGTTAACACACGAGGAATAACAAAAATGGAGTTAACAAAGATAGAGGTGACTTTTTGGGTTCCCTATTACCAGGAGTGATTAATTTGCAGCCTTTTACATGCTAATGTTTCCCTGCCTTCTGCCAGTAATAAATAACCAATATGCTTTAATACCTAGTTATTATTCATCCCTCTCCGATATTTGGATTTTGATTCTTTGCTGCAGCTCAATCACATTGGATTCCTTTAACCGGGACAGCTCCATTAAGACTCCTCTCCAAGGACATCCTGGCAGCTGGGGTGACAGTAATGGATAACGGGTGACATAAAAGAATGGGAAACTGCAACACGAAATATTAGCAGCCATGGGGAAAGTAAGGGGGAACTATAATAGAAGGCACCCACCAAACTACATTTAAGCAACGGTAAGGTTGTGACACAAACCAATAAAACGAGAAAACTCACAGTTAAAGCTGACACACCATTCTTAACTTGTCCTGTTTTGCCTGGTTACTGCCCTGCAAAAATGTAGTTCTCTTTAATCACCATGCTGACAACGCAATGCTTCTCATGTACAGTGGAATGAGGAAAGGATGGCGTGCCAGTTCCTAACTGTGCATTTCCTTGGGGTTTTGGGGGTTGATTTAGTTCTCACTTTCTGCACGTTAGCTTCTTCCTGTTGTTCCTCAAACAAAAGGACAGACACACAAATAAAAGATCTTTAATAAACTTGTTTCTTCACTGACCATCTACTCTCCAAAGAATTCTAAATCTTTCTCTCCATCCTGATCATCTGCCATCTTGAAACATCTCATATTCTCTCTCTGGAATAGGTCTCCTTCAGAGGGAGGACTGGAGTTGGTGGTGCTGGTGAACTAGTTTAGCATCCTTCGTGATTGCCAGTGACAGTGGTGTGGTTTCATGGTGTGTCGTGGGGGTTGTCTCAAAGAATTCAGACTCAGACCACCTCCAATCCAAGTGAAGACATTTATTGAGGATTATGCTCTCCAGCGGGCTGAGTTCCAAGAGGAATCAGCAACTTCAGGAAGATGAGACAGGCAATTTTATACTGTAATGATGCTGATTACACAACAGAAATTATGAATATTAAAAAGGTAGGAGGGACTTGTCAATGGATTAGGTAATAGGTGAGGCATCCCAGCCTTGGTGGAACTGCACATGTGATTATTCACAATGCATACAGAAAAACCCATTTGTGGTGGGGCATTAATATATGACAATGACATTATAATAAGCCTCTCTAAGTCATAAGTTTACTCTAGGTCAGTTCTTTACTATTACTGCACATATGTCTACTTACGGAAAGTCCCTTCTATTGTTTTGGGGT